AACGTATTTTGATTGATAAATAGAAACAATAAATGACTGAAACCCAGGAATGAATTTGATTTGGAATTAAAACACAGTCAGGAAAGTATATACAACGAGTGCATTTATTGCATTGAATTACAGATGATCATTTTGTTAATTTATGCTTTGCTTTCTTCACATTTTTACAAGAAGTTTCAGTTTTCATAATTTTTACATGACATTTACAATGAGAATTATTTTGTCTCAACAGAATTGTTCAACTAATGAGACAACCATTAGTTGAAATATAATGTACTCATATAATGCATTAAAAAAAAAATGTGGGAAATTAAATTTCTGAATTTTGCGAAAGTAAATTTCTCCCAACTAAGAAATTATTATGAATAAATTGTTCAAACCAATGTGATGTTTTTATAAATAGGTATAGACCATGATTAAAAAAACGTTGTTGTTTCTGGTCTAATGGAATTGGAATTTAACTAACGTAAATTTTATTAAGGAAAGACATTTAACTTATCATATGTCAATACTACGAATTATGGATCAATAACATTTAGTTCGTTAAACTTTTCGTAAAGGATAGCAACTTTCGAAAGAAATTAAGCACACAAAATTTGATCAAGATTGCTTTGCAGATTTAACTGTAAAACAAATTGTAAGCTGCCCCAGATAGTTTAATACAGATAACGATTTTCTGAATCATCATAAATTACTTTAATGTTGAAATTAAGAACATTTAAGGCAGGAACGAATCATTTTTTTCAACTAATTTTTTGCAACTTATTCTGCATTAAGCAAAGCATCACTTCTTAGAAACTTTAACCAGTTGATACCCAACCTCGATGAAATTAAAATAAATTTAGCATTTCTAATTTAAAACTCCCTCGTTTTTGGTAGCAGCCATCCAAGTGTTTGTCGTCCCTGCAACTGTCAAGACTCCAAGATGGCACGTTAAGTGACGCAAGGCAGCTGGCCAAAAATTCTATAGAATCCTTGCCGGCTTTCTATTTGGTGTTCAGGCACTGACGCCATGATTTATAAACAACTCCCATGATATGGCTTGTGTATGTCTGCAATGTGTCTCAGTGCAACGTAAACTTTTCGAAAATGGTGAGTACACATTCGTGATATTTCTAATTTTTGTTAAATAATACAACAGAGAAAAATTAGCATTTTGGTTGATGGTATGTAGATTATAATGAAGAGTTACTTAAAATGCTTTTATACATTTTTTAACTGTCACGATCAAAATCCGTTTTTATTATAAAGGGCACTAGAGGAACTTCGATGATCAATTTTTAAGAAATTACACTTTAATACCTAAATCAGGAGATACTTTTTTAACCGAAAGAAGAGCAATTGAACATGCCTTGGGGACTCGGTCTGGGACTGTAAAAGACTGGTAAAAAGGGTTTGAAAAATTAAAAAATAATCGCAAATTAAGCTCTGGTTCTGTCGGAAGGTATGAAACAATAAACCTACAGACAGATGAATAGGTAGGTAAGCACTTCTTGAATCTTGTTCAATTTTGATGGTTTGAGAACCCTTTAGAAGGTTCCGCTTACGTACCTGCTACCTTCCCGTAATTATAACCTAATAACTGCGACGACAACATTAAACTTGCTTACTATCCTAAAACGGGGTAAAAGCTTGGTACATTTACAATTATTTATTTTAACATTTCTCCAATTGTTTTTTTGTAAATATCTGCATTTTTATTTTAAGTTTTCTTTCGCAAATCGTCGTCCTGAAAAGTTGAATAATTAATTTTCCCTGGTTTATCCCTGGAAATTTTCTAGCGCTGATGAAGGTAAAAAATGAGTTGCCGAAAGCTTGATAGTTAAAAAGTTTTCTGAATCTCAGCACTGCCCAGACTGAATCCCCAAGGCAATTTGTTCAATTCATAACGAATTATGCTCAAAGAAAGACAATTTCGATTAAAAACATGCTCCTTGAGAGATGTTCGAAAAAGAATTAAACGTTCATATTATTGCTAAACTTATTGTTGTAAATTTCTGTACGTTATGGGGAGGAAAAAAATGTATTTTCGTTAGGGATGTTGATATATTTACGTTTTATAACACTTTAGTTAAAAATCGCGCACGAAAACAAGCAGGAAGCAATGTTTATTGGAAGCATTTTAAGTTAATTTTTTAAATTAAAAAATAAATATTTTTACAATTTTTTTTAATACAACAGGATTGTTTTATCCTAGTAGAAAGACATAGGAAAGCAAATATAAACTAAAATTGGTATTAACACAAAACATTGTAAAATTATTTTGTCTTCTTTATAAAGTCCGCCATGGATGTTGCGGCTATTAGATCAATTTTAGGATCGATATATTCATTGTTGATCGATAAAGGGAATTAGATTTTAAAATTCCTTAATGAAATGTTTTAACACTGAATTGCAACGTTTTTAATCAACAGAGCCCATTTGAATAATTAAGAGAGAGTATAATGCTAATGTACTGTAAACTTCGGAAGTTTTCTCATCTGAATTTTACAAAGAAACTTCCATCTTCGATTACTTTTTCAAGAAAATAGAATTCTGCTTGTGGGTTTTCGATTGTTCCGTATGCCTGTACATTATTAAAGACATGTTGCTATCTGCAAGTTGCGAATCCAACCTACTTCCTCTACATGCAAATCCGCAAACAAAGCGAGACGAATTGCTACTCTGATTGACCAAATAAAATAACGCAGGCGATAGAATAAGAAATCCGTTTGATCTAATGGAAATAATAGAATAATAAATTACATGCGGATACTAACAATTCAAGTCATCAATAACCTATCGAGGCCATTGTCAAGCATTAACAGAAAACACCTAAACTCGATGATTTTAAAGCACCTTCATATGCAGCGTCAGCTTATAATCAAGTTGTTTTGTCGTGATTGGATGAACCAGTCCTGTGAGTCTAATGAATATAGTGGAACCATGGTTTAAAATACTTCGTCATGAGAAACCATAATTAAAAAGCGGAGAAAACATCTTACGAAATTGATGTGTCAGTCTGCCTGGGTGGCCGCAGAGAAACGAATGGTATTTCGCCTGGCAGATAGTCGTGTGTAATTATAAATTGCCAAGAGATATTTAGCATGGACATTCTTAGATTTTTGTGGTTAAGGCAATTAAGTTGGAATGCAGCATTCTGTTAGTTCGTCTAAGGCTTCACTAAAAAATTTTTGTATTCATGCTGGATACAGGAAGATTATCTCGGAGATGTTTAATCGAATGGCATGGTCATTTTAGAATATGATGAGGTCCAAGTACTCAGCATCGCATCGCCTAGATTAATGCGGAAAATATTTGATGAATAATTATCGTTTAAGCTACGTAATTTTTGTTTCACACTGGCTGTTTCATTATTGTTAAAATTAGATATTTCAATCTTTGGGGCAACTAGTTCGCGCAAAAATTAAAAAAGGAAATTTGTTTCATTACACAGGAGAAGACGAATCCTTTATAGGTAGCGTAGGCTTGATTTTACATAAGAAACCTATTCAAGAGATATCTCATATCAGAAAATTCGATTCAGCCATAACAACATGAGTGAGGAATTTCTAGTAGTTTTGACCCAGAAACCGAAATGTAAATATCATACACTTAGGTGCAAAATTATGCCAAAATTCGACGTTTTCCGTCCCGTTTTTGCTCATTTCTCGGAAGCAAAATGAGCGAGGACCCTCATTTTTACATCACTCCAGAGAGAACTTTGAATAGCCTGTTTAGAAACTGCACAGATAAGAAATTCGCAAAATTCCAAAAAATGCGCCTCATGTGTATGAGATGTATATTGAAAAACCAAAAATCAGGGGCTTTTATGAAAATGGCCTTTTCAAATATTTGCCAATTCAAAGGTTTTCAAAGTACACACAATTACAGCTTTTAAAAAATATTAAAAGAAAATAATTCGATGAACAAAAACCTTATCACTCTTTCTCACATTTTTTTCTGCGTCCGTTTAATTGAAGGATTATATTGATTAAATATGCTTTTAATAGAAGGTGAGTGTACAATAAAATGTATTTGCCATTTTAATTTCAAGTCACAGTCAGGAAAGTATATACAATGCCATTTTAATGTTGAGTTAGTCAAATGTTCAAACATATTCATCATACTCGTTTGGAAGTTTGGAGTGACAATTTTGCACTAATTTAGTCTAAGTTAATTTTCTTTAAATTGTGTATGTTAAAATACAGATTGTAATTCAACATGAGAAAATCTGTGTAAATATTTTTTAATGATGGTTGATAAATAAAATAAATAAAAAAATAAAGTAATAAGTAGGTAAATAATATTATATTTTATGTTGACTAAGAGTTAAGGAATCACGCACATTTGTCCTTAATTGACTGGTGCGAGTGTAGGAAAAAGAGCGTGCTCGCAATCCTTATATCAAAAATGTGTACTGAAACGTGTGAGTTTTGTTCTTGCCGGAGATTTCCTAGCCGTGGTCGTACAGCACGTAAGAAATAACTGCACAGTAAATAGATTTTCGCTGTAATGTATGTAAAATTACTTTTGAAACATTCAAATTCACATAGCAAGCCTGACTTAAATATATCTATAATAAAAATGATATATAGAAAAGAAATATATAAAAAGCGCAGGACTGTGTCTAACTCACATAAACGCCATATCCCCTACATTTCCAGAGAATCATCAAAAGGAAAGGCGAAGCGTAACGAAAACCAAAGATAATGAAAGCACTTTAAGCGAAATTAGCTTCACGAAAACTTTACAAGTTTAATTTGGGACCTTTTGATTAAAGACGAACTCAACTGGAGCCATTTTCCAGCTGCTTGAGACATCCCCGAGCGCAATTTCCAGCTTTCTGGAGATTTAAATGATCCAAGTTTCGTGTTTCAGTCAGGATATTAATCCCCGCGTAATTTGCAGAAAGTTCCCAGTTGCTTTATTCGGCAGTGGAATATGGAGGAAATACTGACGAAAGAAATAGTGGGATAAGTTGGATATAAATAGTAACAATGAATTGTAAATGTCCAGGGAAGCCGTTCCTGCATTGGTCATAACAGACGGCGATCGACGTCACGTTGCAAGTAAAATTATACTTGCTGATTAAATGCACAAACTGCAACAGGGCCTGTAATAAGATTATAAAGATACTGCTCATTTAAATTCTGAAATGGACACTGGCGCAAATAAAATGTCGAACGAATAGCCTCTTATGCTGTGCAGCATGATACTTACTTTGAGCTGGTTTCCATTTTATTAAACGAAAAACTCGAGCAAAGGATTTTACTTGTTACTTTTTTAACGACATTGCTTATCGCAAAAACTTGATAATGCAAAATCGTGTATGTTTCTTTGCATGGCGTAACATTAATTGGATTTGAAGCTACTCCATAGCAACAATTTCCTAAAATGTGATATACAGGGTTGCTCATTAGTGCGTCAAAGTGCGATATCTCAGTAAATATGAAGTTTACAAGAAAATTCGTCCAACGAAAGATTTTCACGTTTA